CCAAAAGTGTTTTTATATAAACATAATCTATTCAGTAATTTTACTGAAAGTTAACCATATTATTTAATTCATAATATTTAACACATTCAACGCCTTTGTTTCAACGCGTAGTCGACATCATTAACACCGCCCTGAATCAGGTATTTACATGTTTTTTCCTAGTTTGAGTTATATTACACAACTAACCTAACATTATAATTTAGGAGTTTGGGACTCAAGTATTATGCATTGTAATATTCAGGGCCGTTCCGAAGATCAAAATCAAGGGGGCGTATAATATAAAAAATGCCGATTACAATTTTTTTACTCAATGTATGCAATATAATTAACTATGTGTAGTTATATTTTTACTTTTTAACATGTATATATGTGTTAGTGTTGCACGTTCTTAAAATTGACAATTTAATTATATATATACTCGTATATAATAATATTTTATATTCTATAATAAGTAGTTATATAAATTTTATTCGTGTATACACTGTATTACGAAATGTGTAATATTTGTTTTCTGTAAGTAAAATTAGGTCCTTCTAGGCTATAATAACACAAGTCTGACCGCCGAACGGTGTTATCGTTGGGGGGGGGGGGGTTGAGACACCCTCCCCAAGACCCCTTTTAGGGGCGGCCCTGGTGATATTTATTACTTTTCTACTCGTGCATGCTTGATTGTCTTAACTTCAACTCTGAATCCACTTGGTCATAACCGTAGCCGGGGGCTGCGTACCCTGAACGCCTATGTCAACAAACGTTTATATTATACTTTGTTGGAGGTTGCTTTTTTTCTTTGTAAGTTTACTTTTTATATATATACCTATATAGCTTTAGCTTTCTTGTATACCTTGAAAATGAAGTCTCGCTACACCTATGCATCTCGATCTACTCCTTGTTTTTACAACCTTTTTAGGTTTTATTAACCAAGAAAGGCAGCATATATGTCACCTATCAATTCCTCTAGTACCCAACATGGAAAAGTAAATTTTCTCGTATGTTCAACGAAAATAAAAAGCTCAACCAATAATAAAGGTTAACCTTGAAATATAAATTTAAACGTAACAGCTTCCATTCCTACCGAAATCATTGTGCCTAAAAAACTACCGTCTTATTATTCAAATCTAAATATAATCCATATTTAAAACAAGTATCTAATAATAACTCTACAATTGACGGCGTAAAACATATACAACTAAACTTAAAAGTTGTTATCACCCTTGCGATTATTAAAGATAGGCAATTAATTATACATTAAATATGTCATGAAAACTATTCAGGTCTCCTAACTAATAGGTAAAAAATAATGACAATTTTTTAGCTGTTCTATTCATTATTTTGAGTGGCCGACTCACAGCGCCTAAAAGGCACTTTAATTTAAATGACTACAAAATATAAAATGTTTTGTGAATTGAGAATGGTATACTTTTATGTATATTTAAAACGTCCTTAAATGTGTTAAAAATGTGAAATTGCGACCCTAGAACCCAAAGGCAGTTAATTAGACGTAATTTTGTTTTTCGGAACTAATTTGAAAACAATACGAATTGACCTATGGGTGACCTAATACAGTTTAATTAATGCGAATATAAAATAAAATATATCAGTTTAAAAAGACAAAAAAATGTCTACATTTTATAAAAATTGCTAATTGTTTTATTATTAAAATACAAATGTTTGCTGAGTGCATAAAATCAATCTAATTATTGATTGTATTCTATACTTATTGATTATTATTATATTAGCCATACGCAGTATATATTAAACATGGATATAATAAATATATTAAATATATTGATTCGTTGGTTAAAACTGAACTATGAGAATAAAAATAATTCATCGATTAAAATATTCATTACAAATTTAAAGTTGTAATGTAATATTAGTAAGTTTAAAGTCCATAAAATAAACAAAAAATTAATTTTGAATTATAAAATTATTCATTTGTCGATCAAAATATTAAGATTTGAAAATTATAAACCTAGGACATTTTGTCGAACAAATATATATTAAACGTCTTACATCCTTTTTATATTTAATTCTATTGGATTAAATAAAATAATTCCACTCCATGGAATTGAGTGTTTTTCGTAATATTAAATAATCTTATTTTAATTAGAAATATTCCGTTAGTCATTTTATCAAGTCGTTACTCGTTATCATACTATGAGGTAAATAAAACTATAAATCAGAGAAGACGTGCACAAGACAAGAAATGATCTGTTAAAATTTAAATCCGGATTTAAATGCTTTATAAATACTCATAAGTAATATTATATAAAAATGCATGATTATATCATAAAATAACAAAATAACTCAATAATAAAAAATAAATTAATGTATTATAATATAGTTTAAATAGATTTTCAAGATATTAATTTATTTTTTTATGTTTTTTATAATAATAATCAAATATGATGAAAATTAATAGGACCTATAAACATTTTTTGCTAAAAACTACACATAATCTTGGTACTTAAGTACCACTTTTTTAGGTTAACAGAATCTCTTAAACGTATACTATATACTTTATTTGGTTTAATATTTAATTATGAAAATAAAATCCGGATCATAATTTTGAAAAGAAAAAAGTATTTTTTTTTATATTTTATCATATATAAATGTGATTGGTATAAAATAAAATACAAGTTACTATAAACAATATCACAATACTTCGATTTTTAGTCACATGAGTATTTGTTAATTAATTGTAGAGGCAAATAGCAAATATTACTTAAACTACATTTTTACTGTTCTTAGCTATTTAGTAAAATGTTTGAGTTGACTATGATCAGGAAAATACTATGATACATGTTTCTCGAATTCGTGGTACAAAAATCCGTAGCTAAACAAAATACATTATCGTTTTGCACCATGGTTTGTACACAATTTAAGGATCAGTAAATTCAAATGATTTTATTAAATATCACTCATGTGTACCGATTCTGAGTTATTATGATTTTTTGAATAATTAGTAACACTATTCAGCAAATTATAACCTATATTCTATACCTTCATCATATTAAACAAAATTTTTAATTATTTATCGTTAATTAGAATTTTTATTTTATCATAACATAGTAATAAAATAGTTGGTACTATATATTTACAAAAAATCGTTGTTACATAATGAAACTTTTATACTCATAAAATTGGTAGTAATTAATAATAATGTGTACTGTCCATTTAAAAATTGTACTAAATCTTTTAATCTCAGTAAATGTATTAAAAACGACCTATGTATACCATAATAACATATTTAGATATAATTATATAAATCACACTCATTTCAAATCATCTATTTTAAAAATAAACATTGGAACATTATAAAATACTATAACCCTACGCTATAAATTAAACAAACTGTACGAGCATGTTATTGAATTAATTCTGAAAAAATATTGAAATTGTATGGGTTATTATTGATTTACTAATTATAAGAACAGCTTATATTGTTAAATAATTTTAAACTTAAAAATTTAAAATAATACGTTTTTAATAATCGTTTTTTGGTTTTAAGTGAAACCAGGAATATATTGGATTTACTATGGTATGTGTTTTTTTTTACGTGACTGTTTACACGATGTCTACCATAGTGATTGCTCCGATCATCACAATCATAGGAAGTTTCTGATAGGAATTGTTGTCTAGTTCAGTGGTCTTAACCTTTTTGACTCGCGACCCACTTTTCTTACATACATTTTTCGTGATCTATGTCAGTTTCGATAGCCATGAAAACGAAAAAAAAATTTTAATTGCTTAATGTATGTTATTGTAGAAGTACTTTTATAACTGAATAAATTATAATTTATATTTTTCTAGGTATATAGGTATTATTTAATTTTAAGTAATTTTCGGAGTTTGGCTTTCGACAAGTGCTTCTATTTTAGATGACATGTTCAGGTTGGTGCGTATTGAGGGATATGTGTACACTTCTCTATAATGTGTTTGATAGTTAATGCTTGTGGAATGTCTCGTATATTGGTTGAGGCTATTTTCTAATTAAATATGAGTGTTCATTTTTATCTTTGACAAATATCAAATAGTACGATCAAGTTTATTCGATAATTATTTTATCTGATATCATATGACCTACCTGTACATAATATAATATATGTATGAATATGCATTTTTTCAATTTTAAACAGAAGATCTATCGCGACCCAATATTTAAGCTTACGCCACCAACCCTTTGAAGACCACAGGTCTAGTTAGTACTTAAATAGCATTTTTATAAATGCCCCTACTGTTTTCTTAATAACTAATAGCATCTACACTCATTCTACAGCATACCAGTTTTTGACAAATTCGAATTTTTGTTTTCATCGAAAGCTATGGAATAGAGATTGTATATTTTTCAAAAGATTTCTTCTTTTTTTTGAGCTATTTATAAACAATTGTAAAAAATAACCATTTCGATTATATCTTACTTATACATTATATGCATAACCTGTAATATATATTCACAGTAAATGTTTTTCAAATTATTAATAACATCTTCCGTTCTAAATAGATTTACTTCGACTTTGACGCAAGAAAGATAAATATTAAAATTAAACTTTGACTTCATCGTTAAGATCATAGAGCCATGAAGTAATCAAAACATCAAGTGTAATGCCTATCTCAGTTTATTTTAAAATGTTACTCTTAGTAATGTATTATGGTAAAAACATCTTTAAAATTATATTGAAACAATGATAATGAAAACACATTAATTATTAAACATTAAGAAATACAAAAATATTGAACTTGTGATAAAGTTTGAACTCCTAAGGACACTGAATAAATATGTATTACCTATATGCTAGACCAGAACTTTAATACTCTAAAAAACATAATCCATTTTTGCGTGCACATCGCTAATCGCCTTGTGAATGTTTATTATACTAATAATTTATATCAGTATTCTCATTAAACATTATTTGATATTTTTTCAAACCGTGCACATGATAAATAAAAAAAAAAAACCATTAAAATAAGATTAATTTTTGACTTATCTAAAAGAGAAGACTGATGAACCTCCGTGGTTGATATAAAAACCTAGATGAAAACGCATTTCAACATTCAGTCACGTTATTTGATATTGTTAAGTTGTAAAGATGGCTCCCTCAAAATCCTCAGGTAACAATATATCTAATAGAAATTGCTTGTATTGGTCTGTAATAAAATAATAATATGTAAATGTATAATATAAATTTCTATTAGGTTTCCGGGTGGCATGTATTCAGATGAGTGTCGTGAACGACAAAGCTAAAAATTTAGCCGTTGCAGTAACACGTATAGAGCAAGCGAAACAAAACGGTTGCACATTAGCCATACTGCCAGAATGTTTCAACGGACTATACGAAATTGGTATGGTTTAGAACCAAATATTTATTGATTTTTACCTACTCAATTTTCTTTTTAACAAAAACATCATACATACTTTGAGTTTAATAGAACAGTAAATATGAAGACAATTTTTCAAAATAAGTTATTTTATAAACAACGATTAAAATTTTTAAACTTCTATGATTGATATAAATATAATACAAATAATAATTATTCAAATCGTTAGTTATAAAAAACAATTTTAAACACAAAATCTTCGTAATTAATACTTAATATTAAAAAAAGCAAGTTTTTAAATATTTGTTGTAGTCTTTATATAGTATTCAGCATTTTTAATGTCTAAGAATAACTTTCTTATTTAATACTAACGTTGATCATCATACGCAAACGGCAAAATTTGATCTCAATTTTTTTTCTTTAATATTAAATTTATATTATGAAAATTTCTTGAATAAATTTTAAATATTAAATTAAATAAGAAAATTAATCTTTAAAAATTAGAATTACTAGTTTAATCCAATTAAAATTACTAAGAAAGAATAATTAATTATGCCGGAGTTCAAAAACATTTTAATGAATTTTATAGAATATATTTTTCATGCCAATTTTTTTAGTAATAGTTATGAAAACATATAAATGAAATAATAAAATTATAAATATAGACAAATGGATCTTGTTAGAACAAAATTATACGTTACTCATTACTCATAATTTTTTGATTTTATAGTTCATAAGCTCAACATATAATTTTAATAAATTGCAAATTTTCGCTTTCAAACGAAAATTAATAAAACAGAGAAATGAAGATAGATTACTAAATAAAAATTTCTATTTCAAATCATTGAGTTGTTAAAAAAATTATTAAAAAAACGACCTTATACATTTATTCGGAAGTTCGAAACTAAACTAAAGTTTTTCTAAATATTATGATCTATAATATTATAAATATTATAATATATATTTAAAGGTATTAAATATTACAGAAACAATTTAAATTAAATTAATTATAATATTATAATAATTTATTTTTAGATCTATTCAGAAAAAATGCCGAAGTCATTCCTAGCGGAGAAACTTGTAAAGCTTTGTCTCAAGCCGCCAAATCAAATCAAATTTATGTTGTGGGTGGTTCAATCCCAGAATTGTATAATGATAAAGTCTATAATACTTGCACAGTTTGGGACCCTAATGGAAAATTGATTGCGACACACAGAAAAGTATAGTATTCAAATCTAATATAAGGTTATTTAGCCAAACCAAAAATTAGTATAGAGAAATCGACTATTTTGTACTTCGCAAAAAATGTAATAAATCAATTATATAATTATAACTAATTCGAATTGTACGCCTTTAATATATTTATAAAACATTTAATTTAACTGCAATCTATTACCATTCACAAATCTTAACATTCATAATTTTATTACCCACATCACTATATTAAAAAATGTTATTATCGCAGTGCATATATAGTGCACAAGTTATTATTATAATAATATAACACGTATTAATTTATAGGTGCATTTGTTCGAAGTAAATATTCCTGGTAAAACTTGCTATAGGGAAGTTAATGGTATGACCCCAGGAAATACGTTGAACACGTTTCAATTGGACAGATTTAAAGTTGGTCTAGGAATCTGTCACGACATTAGGTTTCCTGAAATGGCAGAATTATACCGAAAACAAGGTGTGTTAAAATAAACAATATATCTGAGTATATCTCTACTTTTATGATCTTCCATTTATTAATGATTTTGACTTTCAGAATGTGATATGTTAATTTACCCTGGTAACTTTTGTATGAATCTTGGACCTTTACATTGGAGTCTACTTACCAGAAGCCGTGCATTGGATACCCAGACATTCGTAGCTTTCGTTTCGTCAGCCAGAGTCCCTCATCCCACCTACATAACATATGGTCATTCACAGATTGCGAATCCATGGGGTGAAGTAATAGGTGAAGCTGATGAAAAAGATACGGATTTATACGTTGATCTCGGTGAGTATAATATTATTTTTTAAATTTATTACATGTTGAATTATATAATATTTAATAATTATAGACTTCAGTGTACGGGAAAACATGAGGCAGCAAGTACCCACCGAAAAACAAAAAAGAAACGACATTTACGACGTAATCCTAAAGAAAAATTAATTTTTGGTATACTTTTGTAGATCATAAGATAAGGACATAAAAGTAAATGGACAAATTAATTTAAGATTCAAAAATTATATACAATATGGAAAACTATTAAAAATCAATAAAAACATGTAGATATTTTAGACAAATTATTAAAATAAATACGCATTGAATATCTTATATATTTAGTTTTATTATTATTATATTTCAGATAGCTTAAGATAAGTAATATAATTTTATAGTAAATCCAATGAAGGTAATTTACACCAACCCTGGTTGGTTAAATACTTCCAATAAGAATTATGTAATATTCAACATAATCTCAGGGCCAAAAAAAAATAAGTTATTTTATTAATCTTTACTGATTTCACATAATCTGTAAGAACTAAGGAAATCTTCCTCATCACTATACTTTTAATCACTCAGAACATGAGTGTAGCTATGTTATGAATAAATACAGTCCCTCATCTACAAACTTTACAAAAAAGTATGAAAGTGTTCAAGTTACTTGATGCAACTCATTTTTAAGTGAATTCAAAACATAATCGCAAGCAGACTTGCGAGGTAAAATGATGATAATTAACGCTCCAATGAGTAGTCAAACTTGAAAAAAAAATTGGTAAGTATAATACATTTTTAAATTGTTATAAAAATTACTCATAATCATATTAACTGAGCTCCGAAAAATCGAATGTGAAATTTGCTTCTCAAATTTTAGGGTTGAAAAAGCACTAGTATAATTACAATATAACAACTTATGAATTATGAAAAATCTAACTGAGAATAAACTTATATATTTATTCCTGACATTAACGACATAACTTTATAAATTAAATGTGAACTTCAATCCTTAATTTAAGATAAAATATTTGTACATACTAGGTAGTTTACTGTCTAATATCTCAAGAGTTTAAAATAATCTTCAACCTCTTATTATTGAATTTTTATTATTTACCAATAATAGGGACATCACCAGGGGGGATAACCCCAATATAGGAAAATTTAAAGGGCCATCCTTAAATTCCAGATTGATTATAAATACTGATTTTAATATATTATTTCTAAACTATTTTATTAGTAAATAAAATTAACTTAAATTTATATTAAAGCTCTATTATGCAAGCTACATCTTCAGTTATTAATAATAATTCAGTTATAAATTATTCTGATTAAAAATAAATAAATAAATAATTTATTTATTTATAATGGTTATTACCTAAGAATGAAAAATGACATAATTTTATCCAAATGTACATAGAAATTGGTTAGCACAAGTAATGACACGACAACATTTTTTTATTTTATATGACTGTTTATAATATATCTAAGCATAAATTAAATTTTTATTAAATGTGGTAACTGGTAATATATTGATTAAAAGCTATTAAAAATATATTTCATTGTATCAATGCATTTAAATGATCTTAATTGGACGTGTTTAGAAAATTATATTTACTAAAATGTTGCAAACTTGGTGTGTATTTTTTTATTATACTCATATATTATTGTGATGATTGAGTGGTCCTCGAATTAATATGCTCCAGACTCTAAAAATTCTTAAGATGTCTCTGACTATAGTAATCAATACATTAAATAACCATAATATTCCAAAATGTATTCTTATAATGATTTTCTTAATAATAAACATGTATGAAGTTAATTACTACGGATATAAAATTTTTATAAATCTAGGAATTTAGTCTTAATGCGTGTGAGTAATTAAAAAATAAAATCTTACTACCTTTATTAACATAGTAGATATGGTAATAAATAAACACTATATGGCTGTATGATAAGTTAGCTTACATTTTTTTTAGATAAGTACTATATTCTACAGTAACATTATTATTAATTTAAATAATGAACTATAATGACTAATGAAGTAATTATGTAATCTGCATAATTAACCATTTCGATAATTTAAAACGAAAAAATAAACTTTTGAAAAAGTGAATTACTATTTTAGACTTTTTATTTAAATGTACGATTTAATACAATTCACATAAGTAATATACCCAAGTAATTTTTATATAAAAATGGCAACAGCAAACGTTATAATAATAATGCAAAGGTGAATATAGCCTAAAGTGAATTAATCAATTAATTAACTAAATAGCTTAACTATTTTAAATAAAAACTATGATAGCTTGATATTAAATAACTATTTTTAAAATGATTTTGATAAATTTATTTAAAGCAATTAAAACAAAATCAATTAATCAATACATGTATAACTACTACAGTTAGCATAAGCAAGATGAATATTTAACATATTATTCTAATGGTTAATTAGTTGTCTAAGTTTTAACAATAATTTTTAATAAATAATTTAATATAAATTAAAATAATCAAATGGTTAATACTCATAAATCATAGTCACGATTTGATTGACTATGTATATACCTGATGATACATTTTTAGTTAAAAACCTGTCGTACTTTACAAATATAATAATACTCCAGGCTAAGTTTTTATTTATTTATTTCTATATACATATATATGTATATTAATAATTTATAATACCAAACCTATATTTAATGTGACTCAAATATCATATAAAAAATTACTTTCCACACAAGTTCAGTCAATATTTTACTTCATAATAAATTTAAACTTGTATAGTTAAATGTATTATTTGCAAATTATTAACTTATATAAATCCATATTCGTCAGAGACGTATTTAGGAGGGGGAGGGCGAACGGGTACCATCGCCTCGGGTGGCACATTTTTTTAGAATTAAAGAGTTGCAGCATTTTTTTGTAACCCTAATCCATCATATATTTTCATTCGTCAATCAAAAAATTTTAATATTTTAAGATTTTGCAAAGGGACCTATGGTCATTTTTATTTTCATGATAATACTATCAAAAGTTGATCGCGTAAAATTTATAGATAATAAATATTACCTTTCTTGAAAATCGTATAAAAAATGTGTAGGGGTGGCAATAAAACTGTACCTGAGGCGTCAAAACTCTAAATACGTCTCTAAATTCGTATGTTAGCTTAACCAACTCAAATTATTTTTTTTCGTTTACTAGCTCGTCTCAAATAACACAATTTTTTTTTTTTGTTAGACAAAATCTAGTTCCCAGCTTTTGTCTTCTACAATTTTTATAAACGTAACTTTTCATGTATAAATATATATATAAAATATTATATTTTCTAAGTGTGATATTACTTAATATTCAACTACAGATAAAATCTAATTAATCCTGTTACAGATAACAATCTGTGTTCCCCCGTCACAATGAATAGAGAAATAATTATTTTACATATTAAATTATACTCCTAAAAACATAACTAAGGCCCTATATCGATGAAATAAATGTTCTACTTGTTATTGTTTGTATTATATACATATATTGTTAACTTATATTAATTGTATTTTGCATTTATAATCTTGTTTTTATGAAAATACATATTTAACCCATAATTTCTTATCAGATCAAATTAATTAAAAATATAATTAAAGAAATAATAAACAGTATTTATGACTTATCTATAAAATAAATAAACGCTGACGAACCTTTACAGTAGAGTATAAATGTAAAAACTTATTAGTAAGAACATCTAAGAGTGATTTAAATAAAAAAGTTTAAAAATGGCATCTTCAAATTTTTCAGGTAACATATTAATAACAAAATATCCTACACTAGATAGTAGTTACATATCCTAAAGAATAGGGACATAAAAAATAAATTTAATTTTAGTCAATACTGAATAAATTATTTGTGAAGCTATTATTTTTTTCTAAATTAAATAAGTTCTTAAGTTGTATGTATACTTATCCTTCTCCAAGTTAAAAATAAAACAGTTGTATTTTTAACAATAATATTTTAACAATGTGATCGTAATACACATTATAATGTATATAATTACACTTTTTTCTGTTTATAAAGTTATGTATCTACGTATTCATGTTTTCATTTGGCAATCAATACAATGTAACCATATAGGCAAACAACTCGATTTAATAATGGTTTTATGTTATGTTAAGTTACATGTATATATACAGTCAAGTCATAATAAATTGAATCTGAAGGAAAAGTTTAATACATTTTAGATATCAAAATTAATTTTTACTAAATTATGTTCCTTCATTTAAAGGAACCTTAAATATGATGCTATGATTATCATTACTCAAATGTATTTATTTTAATATTTTATTACTTGTTTTTTATTATGAATTAAAAGTTTTAACTGAATATCTTTATAAACTGATTTATAATTTTGTTACATTAGAAAAATTGCAATATAGTATTGTTATGGTTCATTTATTTCTATAATTTTCAGAATTAAATTTTATATTTATATTTATTCGTATGAATAAAAATTTAATAGGATTTTTAATTTTATTCCAAAAAAAAATTAAATATTCTTAAAGGTCATAATTTAGTTCCCTCTCCCCAAATATCTCTTGCTAGAATCCTCTATAATGATTATATACAATAAAATGTTATAAAAAAAAATATCTGATACTACTGAATTATTGTAATACTGAACTCATTTTGAATATGTAATTAGGTTTTCGAGTGGCTCTTATACAAATGACTATAACGGGAGATAAAGCGAAAAATATAGCCGTAGCAGTTAAACGTATACAGGAAGCAAAGCAAAAAGGATGCACACTCGCAATATTACCAGAATGTTTTAATGGACTTTACGAAATTGGTATGATTTAAGACTGAGCATTCTACCTTAGTATCCATTTAATATGTAATTTATGTAAATAAATGTAATAATGTGAATTAATATGTAATTTTTTTCTGTTACTATTATAATTTTGTTTATAGAGCTATTCAGAAAAAATGCCGAAGTCATTCCAAGTGGAGAAACTAGTAAAGCTTTGTCTCAAGCTGCTAAATCAAATCAAATTTACGTTGTGGGTGGTTCAATTCCAGAGTTATGTGATGACAAAATCTACAACACGTGTACTGTTTGGAACCCTAATGGAAATATGATTGCAACTTACAGAAAAGTATATTTTATTAGATTATTTAGCTAACCATTAAGAATTAAGCCTAAATTTACCCTTTTATTATTTACTAACATCATAACATACTGCTAAATTGTTATATTTTATAATATATTAAATATATTAAATATATATATTTGCACAAATAAGCCAAAAGCAATTTAATTGCAATTCTACTATACATCAATACAAAATTTTACTTTTAATAACCAATTAAACAACATTAAGTTTAAATGTTGTATTTTCTGTGTACTGTACATTAATTTTCATAAGTCTACAGTATAAAATAAGTAACAGTTAACATGGGCGGTACTACGGGAGTGGTAGATAAGGTAGGCGGCTGCCCCCCTAGCGAGTTCTTACTCTCCCTATACATTTCAAATATTGGTTGATAACCCCTTATATTACATGCTTATTTAGAGTCTGCATGGTTGTAAGTAATAATATTACTATCTACAACCGTGGGAGCCATTCATGTAAATATGCTAATAAGATTTTTGTGTCAACATTTTCAATATTATTATAATTTATTTTTATTATTGACAAATCATGAACCAATATTATTATTTTATTATTATCTGTATCACAAACGTTTTGTATGATATGTATTTTGAGTATTTTATTTAGTATATTGAGTTTTTTGGATAATATTAATTATAATAAAAATTATGAACACAAACCAAAGTAAAAAAATAAAAACTTTATACGACTTTTTCATACAAGAACCATCATAGGAGGCTCTACGAGGTGTGCCAGGTGTCTTGGCACACCCTAATGTGAATAATGCGAATAAAAAAATTGAATAATTACAATTGAGAATATATGTACATACACATTAATTAAATTTTAGTTTTTTGTAAGTAATATTGCAAGTATTCAGAATAAGTCTGAAATAATAATTACGTGTATATTTTACCAATCGTTATTTTACATCATTAACGAAGCATTTAGTTTTAGAATTTAAATCATAACACGGTCTACACGTACGTGTTTATAGCCTCCCCTTCATATTTATATTTTGAAAAAATAACCAAAAAATGACAGGGCACACTCAAATATATCACTCTAGGTCCGCCTATGAGAACCATCACAGGTAAATTGTGGTAAGTTATTATTTTAAAATTTTATAAGATAAAATGATATAAATGTAGGTATTTGTAAGTTTATTATTCATTTTACAAAATAATCTTATTTGAAATAAGTTAAAATAGTTATCAATGAAATACTTTTTTTATAGTATTGCTAGGCTAAAAATTTAGACAAAATAGCGTTAATATTTTACTTAAAGTATTTCCTGCCTCTCTTGCCAAGAGGGTCTAGTACCGCCTATGACAGTTAACTATCCTTCAACATTCATTTCTTATAAGTTGACAGTTTCAAAAAAATATTTAACTTCTTGCCTTCGTTACTGATTTTACATAACAAAACATATAATACTGTAGTACCATACACAAAATATTCGTTTTTACAATAATCGTACATGCTATATCAACATATTAAACATGTATAGGTACATTTATTCGAAGTAAATATTACTGGCAGTACTCGCTTCAGGGAAGCTGATGCAATGATGCCAGGAAATTCACTTAGTACATTTCAATTGGGCAAGTTTAAAATCGGATTGGGAATTTGTTATGACATTAGATTTCCCGAAATGGCTGAGTTATACCGACAACAAGGTAATTTGTCAATAACATTATATGTTCATAAATTTATCATATTAGATTGTAATAATTATTTTGATTTTTAGGATGTGATATGCTGATATACCCTAGTAACTTTTGTACACCTCTGGGGATTTTACATTGGAGTCTTCTAACCAGAAGTCGAGCACTGGATAATCAGATGTTCGTGGCTTTTGTGTCAGCGGCCAGGGTCCCTCATCCCACTTACGTAATATACGGCCATTCGATGATAGCGGATCCATGGGGTCAAGTTATAGGCGAAGCTACTGAAAAGGATATGGATTTGTACATAGATCTCGGTAAATATTAAATACCTATATCATGATTTCTTTATAGCTATTATTATTCAATATTAAATCTTATTAATCATATGGTATTTAATACTTGCAGATTTAAGTGTATGCGAAAACGTAAGGCAGCAAATACCCACCGAGAAACAAAAGAGGCACGATATTTACGATGTAATTCAAAAGGGAAATTAATTATGATATGTTTGTGGTGGATACCATACAATGAAAATGCGAAATAATTAAGAAGTTCTCACTTAAAAAAATTTCTCATAATATTAACCGATTGTTATAGTAATCGACAAATACATTAGATTATTTATTTTATTCGATGCTGTAGAATAATAATCATTAAATGGGTAATAATAATATTTTTTGTTATTATTTTATACGTATATATCCCAATTTACCATTGTGTTGGTGAAAGTATAGTTTAATGCGTGTAATGAGTAAAAAAAGCTAAAATGATTAAACACGTATTTATTTTCGAAGAACAATATTAATATTGTTAATATTAAAATTACTGTTCTGCTACGTTACATCGGTATCGCTAGTGCCTATATGATTAAATTATTGAAAAAAACTTATTGTAATGTGCAATAAACTAGTAGTCATCAAGATCATTAAGCACTAAAGAAAAATTGAAACATGCTCAGTGCAACTGGATTCGTCGAGTACGCTAAAGTACACTTTATAATAATCACCGATCAGTATAATTCGTATAACTTTTAATTTTTAAATCGCAAATAGATTTAATCGACCATTAGGTATATTACATAGCGTACGTGTTTCATGGACCTATCACAATAATCCATCTCTTTTGTAATGTTCGATACGAATTTTATTATTAAATATTGTTCGTGATGCAGTGTTTTAATTTCTGAATTTCTGACCTCCGTACTGAATCAACATTTACCGCAACACACATGAAATTATTCGGTAAAATATTATTGGCTATTCAATTTGATTATTCAATAACGAAAATATTGGCTCTTTCTTACTTTTGTTTTTTACTTTAGCCATTATCATTATTTATAGTCATCATAAAATAATTTCTTCTGTCTATAATTCGGCAATCTTATCAATTGGCAATAGTATCGGTCCGATACTATTAAAAATCTATAAATCATTGTTATCGTGTAACTATCGTTATTTAACACTTGACAGTACCTTTGGCATACGACAACAACTTACTGAAATATGAAATATACTCGTTATAGTAAGTGACCAATAATAAAATATTGGTTACTATAGGTACATATTTATTTGATGTATACTCGTATATACAATGAAAATATTTTAATTTATTATTAAATATTTATTTTGTAGTAGTAATTTACCATAAATGTATGTCAATTTCTAATTAGTTTTTAAGTGTTTAGAATCTGTATTTTGTTCTAGAGTCATAGAGTTAACAAAGTTAATGTTATTTTCATTAATCTTCAAGAACTTTCAAGGGTTTCGAAGAATTGTAATATTAAAAAAATAATCGTAAATTAATAAATAATTTAATTTATAAGTTAATATGTAAGTTAATGAGTAAGTTAAAAAGCAATTTAGGAAGTAAATTATTTCGTAAGTTTATTAACTAAGTTAATTTATGAGTTAGTAAATAAGATAGTTTGTAAATTAATTATTAAGTTAATTGGTAAGTTAGTGAATAAATTAATAAGTATATTAGTAAATTAGTTAGTTTTAACAGTTTAGTAAGAAAGTTAGTTTTATATTAGAATAATTAGTAAAATTAAGTGCATAGGTCTAATGGGAAAATGTTCTTGTAAAATAAAACGTATTTAGATTTTCTATTATGTTTATTAAATATTTTTGTTTAAATTTAAGTATTTTAAATGCTTATTCGAGTGCTTATAATGATGTATTTAAGTGCTTTTTAAGCAATTATTTTAAAGATTATAAGTGCTGTAGTCCCGAGCCTTGGTTATAACCATAAATATTTGTGTTACTGCGATACTGAGTCGACCTTTAACTCTATCAGACCCAAAATTAAAATAATTAAATTCATTATATTTTTCATTATGATTTATGAAGTCATGAAAAATGTTTTTGGGGAGTCTTAATCGACAGATATAAAAATTATAATATATCATTAATTTAATCCATCTATTCATATATTTAGGCGCGTAGGCAGGGGTGGTGTTACAGGTGTAGTAACACCCACCCCCCCTTAACCGTGTTAACAGTATACTGAAGTCTAATAAAGATAAAAATTAATCATAAACCGTGATGAAAATATATTTATCATAACGAAATATATACATAACAATAATGTAAAGCAAGGATCCGGCTTCTCATTACATCGTTTTGTCTAATAAACCAAAGTCGTAGTTTTATGTCGTATCATGCGCGATTTAAAATAAGTACATATAACAAAAATGTACATTTGAAATTTTAATAAAATATTTAAATACTTTCTCATACAATAGTACATTACACATGAATAGATATTCATGTATAATGTACTAATGTGTTTGTATTCTTGTACAATAAAGTATACGTAAAATATTTATTTTGTTGTGTATAATTTTGAATAACACCCCCTTTTTGAAATAGCTTCGCGACTGCATATATGAAGTTCATATTATGAACCCATGATCAGAATATTATCCAATAATATGCTTCTATAGAGAATAACAATTTAAAGTTTTATGTTTATAAGAAGATTAGCAGAAAAAAAATCGTTGTGAACGCTCTTTTTTATTTTAGTTCAAGTGGTGTTAACGTTGACAACCCGCGTCCAACCAATGATGTAATTTCAATTTTTCCAGACTAAGACAACTCTTATTAAATTGACGACTGTATGGCTCATTTTACTTGAGTACCGATTAACATGGGGGGAGGGGGAAGTCAAACCAGTCTAAAAATATGAATTACATAAATACCATATAGTACATGTTTCATATTTCTGATTTACAACGTGCCAATGACTTTTAGAAGATTGGTACATTAGTTAAATAATTAATTATAATAATTATATAAATAACTATCAAAATATAAATACATAAAGTTTAGAAGATGTATTTATATATTGATGATGTGCCGACTTTGGAATAGCTAATCTCTTAGATTGGCAAATGCATGAGTTATCACCACTCCTCAACAATTGACGCCACTGCAGACGTCACGTCCAACTACTATTATTACAATAATTTAATAGACTGTAATCGATTATGACATTATTTAACATTTTTTAACAATAAACCATTTATTATTTACTACGATTTTAATTTTTAATAATAATAATTACATAGTCCACACACAAAAATATTCAAATAAACAGACTTCATGAACCCACGGTTATGGGTCACAGATTTACTTCTTCGCGATAACAATGCCATTAAATCTATAACTGATAATAAGCTGATAACGTATGTTATCAATTTTATATAATCTGTGCTGATATATTAAATAAAGATAAATTTAAAAAAATAATACTCAAACATCAAAGCCAAACAGTTTTATAATAATAATATCATGTTTCGTGGGTACGAAATTTGTGTTGATTTTCGTCCCACTCCGGTATTTATCAGGTACATAGTATAGCATTACGGCGCTTTACAACCTTGCCGTCGAATATAGTGATAGGTGTGGGTCGGAGGATTAATCGTGTCGTTCCCGGATGTGTTTAATTGAACGAGATTTGCATATGTTTAACGCACCGTTTTAATGGACGCACACCTATTGGCCAACTATATGATCTTCTAACTTCTTTATTTTATTTTATTTTTTTTTATGCTGCGATCACGAATTGATGATATTTTAATTCGCGATTTTAATGTTTCGAATCGTTTATAAAGCCTCTTATCAGCTCGTAGTTTTCCTCACTCAGTGATCGCGTGTTAGGTTTTAGTATTCTGGCAATTATGGTATTAAATTATAAAATTAAAAAAAAAATTAGTAGCTTATCTCATATCTGTGAACAGTATAATTGAACACTATCACAGTAACACTCGGGGCCTCTAGGGTATATGTGTGCGTGTGTATTTATAAATGTTGGGTGGAATTAAACTGTTACAACAGTCAACCGCTATATTCAACAAAGTCAGAATGGCTTCTTCAAATTCTTGTGGTAATATAAGATCAATATAATATTTCTGTTGCCAGTTATGATATTATATGTTCTCCATAGGTTTTAAAGCAGCGGTTTTGCAATTGACTGTCTCAGGTGACAAATCTGCGAATGTAGCCAATGCATTGAAACGTATACAGCTAGCAAAACAAAATGGATGTACATTGGCTATATTACCAGAATGTTTCAATGCACCATACAACACTGGTACCAATGATTATTAGACCTATTTTAATGAATATTGTTTAACAAAACGGTTTTGTTATATTAATTTGATCTCATAATATATATATATATATATATATATATATATATATATATATATATAAATGCAAAAAAATAAAATTAGGAATAAATTATAAAAATGTTTTGCTTTAATCAGTTACCAAATTATGGAATTTAATCATATTACTTCTAATTTTAGCTCTATTTAGACAATATTCTGAAGTTATTCCTGGCGGTGAAACATGTAAAGCTTTGTCTCAAGCTGCTAAATCAAATCAAATGTATATTGTAGGTGGTTCAATTCCAGAAATATGTGATGACAATGTTTATAACACATGTACTGTTTGGGATCCTAATGGAAATCTTATAGCTAAACATAGAAAAGTATTATTAAAATTTGATATTATTATGTTACCTAACATTAAAAAGTATTGATACTTTAATCTTTAATTAAGTTTTTTTAATTTTTCCTACTAATTTCTCTAAATTAATTACTTAATTTAATGAAAAATTATCAACATTTATTTAAAAATCTATGTATGTTTAATAATGTCTTTGTTTATTGATAGATGCATTTATTTGATATAAATATCCCTGGCGGTATATGCTTCAAGGAATCCGATGCCTTAAGTCCTGGAAATTCACTCAATACATTTAAATTAGGAAAATTTAAAATTGGTTTAGGAATTTGTTACGATATTCGATTTTCTGAAATGGCAGCGTTATACCGAAAAGAAGGTTTGATAGTAAAGTGCATGATCCCTATTAATCAATAATTATTTTCATAATTTTTTTTTTTTCAGGATGTGATATGTTAATTTATCCTAGTGCCTTTAATATGACAACTGGCCCTTTACACTGGAGTTTATTGATTAGAGCTAGAGCTGTTGATTGTCAAGCATTTGTAGCCGTTGCTTCACCAGCCAGAATTACTAATTCCAACTATGTAGCATGGGGGCATTCAATGATTGTAGATCCATGGGGTAAAATTTTGGATGAAGCAACTGAAAAAGATATGGATTTATACATAGATCTTGGTAAAGTATATTTTTTTATTTTATTGAATTATGGATCTAACTAAACATGACATTTCATCCTAATAGACTTTAATGCTCGAGAAAACATGAGACAGCAAATACCTACTGAAAATCAAAGAAGAACTGATGTATATGATACAATTAATGTAAAAAATAAATTTTGATATGCATATGAAAACTAAAATTAGGAATTATGTTCCTAATTATCCAAGTTTACATTTAAACACACTATGGTTGACCAATTATTTAAGATTTTAGTATTAAGTCTGATTATCAAATGAAATGGTTATCTTTTTTTAAACTGTTAAAAATTTTATTTGCTATTTAATTTGAATTAAAACAGATAAACAATGTTTGGACATAATATTTGTAATTTTTAGTAAATTTTTAATTAAATTTCAAATCTTGAAAATTATTTTTAAACTGTAATAATTTTTAATTGTTCATAAACACACTGGATTAACTTCAATCCCAAAGACATCCGTTTTTATGTACATATCTAAATAGCAATCTAAATCAGTTGCAGATCTAGGATTTTGTTTTAAGGAGAGAGCCCAAAGTTTTTCAAAACATTATAAAATACCTACATTTTTTAAAAGAAACAGTAAAATAAAATACATGACTCTAAGTCATTATTGTATATTACAAATAAGATTATTTAACATGGTTTGTCATTACATTAATCTCTCAGGTTTACTACTTTTATCATATTGACAATAAGATAGGTAATCTAAAAACTTTATAAATGTTCCCAAAATAATTATATTAAACAGCATTATTTATAATTTTTACATTGTTACTATTACAAAACTGAGGTCCTAGGCCAATTAGAAGTGTAAGCTCCTTCTTTCCCCTCCCTCATAAATTCGCCAACGCTCTTAACTATCCTTTATTTTCAGTTATAAGAATATTTTATATCAAATACATTCGTTTTTATATACATTTATCAACAATCAAACTAGGCATGGATCAATATTTATTTTTTTGTGGACCTAGTTATTAATTATATTAAAAATTACTTTTTAAGCAAGTTCATTATTAGATATTTTAAATCAAAAAAAATATTATATCCATACATCTGCTAATTATCTAAATTTATAAATAAAATATAACAATAAATTTAATTTATTTGTTTGATCCAAAACAAATTTATCTTATAATTGTTTGGAAATGAATTTAACAATAACTTTGAATTCTCATCTCTATCAATATACAATAAAAGATATGCAAGTATTTGATTATTGTTGATCGGATTTAAATTATAATATATCACATTTTTTAATTCGACGACATTTCATTAATTCTGTGGATAAACTATCAAAATTAAACAAATGTATATTATTATTATAGAAGAAATTCTATTCTGAAATCAAAAATTCTTTTCTTCATTCTTTCGTAGTATCTCCGATTTCGAGAAATGAACGGAGATAACAAGATCGATGTTTAATGTTATCAGCAAGTAATTATCATCAAAAATAAATAATAACAATAACAAATACATAATTCTTTGATTGGCTTTCACACATAAAATAATTATTATTCAGTGGATTTTTAGTAGAAAAATATTTACTCGTCATTCATTTTATTTAAATACTGTTAAAATACTACCAATTTCGCTATGTCTGACAAAGCAATGCTTGTTCTTGGTGAAGCTTCCGAATCTGACGATGAAGATGTTCAACCAGAGGTAAATTGTGCACACAGGTGTTATGGAGTTGTGGAATAATGTAATAATGTAATTTAGAATGACGGTAACAATGGTAACGAATTCATGAGCTCCAGAAATGGAATCAAACATCTGGAATCTGATGTGGAATCCAATACACGGAGTTCAGGTATGTTAAAACAGTTGTTTGTTTCATTCATTACATTCCATGGTTCACCTGACAAGTGTTTTTTTATTAGTCACACTTATCTCGACTTTCCATGCTGTCGTTCATCGTAAAAAATATGTTTTATAAAACATGGGTATTATTACTATTATTTTTTTCATCTAATAGGTAGAAAAAATCGCAGGCATAAGGAACACTTTGCTACTCGAACTGACAACTATAAAATGTCAGAAGACACTTTACTACACAAGAAATTAAGTAAGTGTAAATCACCTATCATCAGTCCATATTAATTTGATGATTATTTTTATTACATTATTTTTCAATTGCAGAAGAGAAAAACATGCAGTTTTACTCGAATTTGACTACATTTCCCAAACAGATGTATATAAACGCCATGAATCAACTGAATGAAACAGATCAACAGTTAGTCAAATCCCAAGAACTACTTCAGGATACTGTAACAAATTGGAAATATATTGAACAAAATTTGTCGTACATAAAAAGAAAGATGACAGACATATTGTCTGAAGAGTACATTCCAAAAATTAAAATATAAACCATTGTTTTTAAAAGAAATATTGTATTCATAAAAAAAAAATGGTCAATAGTTATTTGTTTGTTTGTTGATATGCTTATTTTTATATATTCTAAATTTAATTTTTTTTTTGTCTTAAACATTTTGAATATTCAAATATATTTTATTAATAATTTTACTTGATATTTCCTTTTAAAATTATGAAGCATTTCTATAACTGAATTTAAGTAGTTTATTAATTTCTATGAAAGTTTGGTAGTGTATAATTAATCATATGGACAAGCTTTTATTTGAAGATGAAAATGAACTAAGTACATTTGTTTTAAAAAGTTTTTCTTATTCGAGGAATAATCAATTATTTGCTGCCACGTTTAGATTTTTCTCAAATCATATTGTAAACAAAATAATCTCTGACCTTGTCCCAATATTCGCCTCCATCAATAAATAAAATGTCACCTGCATAGCAAATCAGCTTACTTTACTTATGATTATCTTTTTAATACTGAATCTTCACATCTTTCACACATTGTACAATACGGCTGATTATCAAATGCTTTTATTGTGTCTATATAATTAGTCTTCTTTTTGTTTGGTTTTGCAATTGGATATTCGCTCTCCACTCTTCTCTGTTCTCAGTTAGCTTTTTCTGTTCGGTGTAACTTGTTAGTCCAACCTCGGAAATCATTTATTTGATAAATGAAGTTTTCAGACGTCCTCTGTCCATTTTATCTTTAATTATCCCTTCTATTATTTTATGGGTTAGTTCATTTTCGTGTCTCAATATATTTCCCATCATGTTCCATCGTCTAGTTCTGATGGCTTTGAGTATCTTTATTCGTTCCTCAATTTCACTGAGTATGTTTTACTTGGAACAGTGTTCTATCCAACTCATTCTCAGTCAGGGGCGTAATTAGTTAGGTGGATTAGGGGGATGGATCCCCCAAAAACTTTTTTTATGTAATTTCTTTTTTTTATTTATTGTGATAATATGATAATTATCATTACGATTATTATTATTATTATTAAAATTCAAATTATTAAAAATCTTATTCTGGTGGGGGGGGGTTACTGTATGAGGTGTGCAGATTTTGCTAAAACCTATAATCCCCCACAAATCAAATTCCTAATTACGCCACTGCCCTCAGCATCCTTCTCCAACATCATACTTCGAAGCTTTCAAGTGTTCGTTGTTCTGCCTTATTTGATATCCATGTTCCACAACCATAAAATGCCACACTCCATGGAGTATGTATGCATACATATACTTTTATGAAACGTTTTTTCATCATAATACTCATGTAATTGAAGGATATCATTTTTTTCTTTTTCAGAAATGCTGACTTTGCCTATGCGATTCTGGATTTTATTTCTATCATGTATCTTCCGTATTGGTTGATTAAACTGTCTAAGTATTTATTAAGTTCTACCTCGAACAAATAGCTTGTTCCCTGTTAGAATATTTATTCTTCTTTTTGGTTTTTTGCCAGTTGATAATCAAATGATATTTTTGGAAGCATCGCGTTATTTCTTTCAGTGCTTTTTCCAAATCATGCTCATTATTTGTTAGTAGTGCAATATCGTCAGCGATTCTTAAGAAGTATATTATTTTGCTACCCACTTTTATGCCTATATTATTTCTGTACAGGGTTTCTTTCATTTCTTTAATAGGCTGTTCGATATATACATTAGGTATATAGAATTGGTGAGAGTGAACAACTTTGTATATCCATTATTCTTATATATACCACTTTCTAATTATCGCTGTCTCTTTTTTGTCCATTACTTTTATTGTAGCTGATGGGTCTTTGTATAAATTATATATTATCATTCTATCTCTTAGTCACCTCCAATTTCTTCTAGAGTAGGTGTAGAATAGTTCTTTACACTGTACATTATCGAAAGCCTTTTCCAGATTTATAAACGCTATAAATGTTTTTTTATTAAATTATATTTGTTTTTCTACCAATATACTTAAGCTTAAGATTTCCTCACTAGTACTTTTGTTCTTTCAGAACCCGAATTGTTCATCACTTAACTATTTTTCTACTATATTCTCGATTCGGGTGCATATTATTTTTATTACGATTTTGGCTGCGTCTGCCATTAAATTTATCGTTCTGATTTCATTACATTGCTCATTTCCATTGCTTTTTTAAGTATAGGTATTAAAATGTTCTATCTGAAATGTTTGGGTATCTCTCCCATAGTGTATATATCATTCACTAACTTAAATAGCTCATCTTGAAATTCTGTGCTCGTATTTTAGATTAGTGTCATTACTATGTCGTCTATACCTGCTGCTTTACATGTTTTCATTAATTTCAAAGTTTTATTGAACTCGTCTCTTAAGATGACTCCTCCTACATCAGAGCCTAAAATAGTGTGTACTCTGAAAATTAAAATGTGTAGTCTGAATGACAAATGTGTGTACCAAGTTTTTACACTAGTGACTAGAATAAGAAATTATTGATGAAATATTAAACATATTAACTGTAATATAAAATACCCATGTTTTCCCTATCACTCATTAGCTATCTCAATTAATATTGATAATAGTCATGGAATATCTCACAGAATAATAAAACTATTAATATATATTAATAGCACAGCTGAATTCATACAATTGCCCATTATATTATTATATTCTATGGTAAAATCATAGAACGCGTGTTTGATAACAATTTATACGATAAAAATCCCATAAAAAAAAACAAATAGATTTTATTTTGTCATGAATCATGGGTACTAAAAAAGTGTGTACCCTGAAATTGGATATATTTTAGGCCCTACACTGCATATCTGAGTTATTATTATTATTGAGATTGGCTGTTTCTTCTTCTTGGTATAAAACTTCAAGATATTGTTTCTATTTTGTTGCTATGTTGTTGTCCAGTATCAAGTTTCCATCCATACCTATCTCTTATTTTGCTGTTTAGTTTTGTTTTTCATCTGAAAAATTTCTCAATTATACTAAATGCTTGGTCTATCCTATTATTTCCAAGCAATTGTTTCATTTCTTGTCACTTTTCTTTTAACTATTTCTCTTTTGTAAATTTCGCTTCTCTATTTTATTCGTAAGCTCTTTATAACTCCGTATTCCATGTTTATCCTTGGCGTTTTTATACTTTCTTCTCTCTTCAATATCTCTTATACCTAATGTTATCGTTTATCCATGATTTCTTAGGCTCTGGTTAGTTTCTTTTCAAAGTGTTTCTGGCTGCTTCATGTATCATATTCTTTATTTTATTCCATTTATCTTCATTGGTATCACTTGGAAATAATGGGTATAATATTAGTTTTCTATTAATGTAGGATGTATAGGTTATATTTATGTTATTTTCTTTTAGCATTCTAAAATCATATTTCCTTATTTTTTGGGTTATTCTTGTTAGTTTCTTATACCCTACATTACATTTGATCATGAGGAGATTATGGTCGCTGTTTACATCAAGGCCTGGATATGTTTTGCATCTATGTATCCGATTTCTGAACCTCTTTCTCACTACGATATAATCGATTCGATATCTTCGGATATCCCCTGGCATTTTCTAAGTGTATCTTTGTCTACAGTGAATATTTTGGAATGTGTTAGCTATGATCATATCATGTTGCCTGCAGAAGTCAACAAGACGGCCTCCTCTTTCATTTCTAGTTTCTAGTTCGAATGCTCCTGCTTCTTGACCTTCTACTATCGCATTCCAATCTCCCATTACTATTAAATTATTTTCTTTTGCTATTTTGCAAAGCTCATCTAGGCTAGAATAGATCTCTTCTACAGAATTATCTTCTGCATTTAATTTAGGGAAGTACACTTGAATTAGTACAATATCATTTGGTTTAACTCTAATTTTAATTAATATAAACCAATCATTATATGCTATTTTCTTCACTATTTGATGGCCTAATTTTTTATGTATAAATCCTACACCAGCCCTTCTTAGTTTTTTATCGCCAGAATAGATAACATGATAACCTAGTCTTCTGACCAGAAATCACCATTTCCTGACCATCTAACTTCGCTCACCCCTAGTATGTTTATGACCAATCTCTTCATTTCTAGTTTAATATTCTCTAATTTGCTAGTATTTAGTATAGACCTAAGATTCTATGACCCAATATTTCTCCATGGATTTCGCTTACTGACGACCTGAGAAGCCATGAAACTTCCTCTGCTGACACTGACATTTCCGAGTATGTCTGTTGCTGTAACTTTTAAACATTCTTCTACTTGATCCATATTGATTTACAAGGAATTATAACGAAGTGAGTTCCTTCTCTTTCCACATATAATTAATAACACATATTATTAAGTTTGATTTCACCAGAATTATAAGTATTGACAATGTTTCAATAGATTAGTCTGAATTTTGATCAGACATTCATCATTAATTTCAAAATAATTTACTTGTTTGTATTCAGTTATATTTCATAAGATTTAAAAATGTTAGATATTTATGAGAAAATGTTCCATATTTGATTTATCTTTTTTCTATTCTCATGCATTACAACCAAAATTAGAATAAAAGGATGCTGAATTAAAATTGTGAAATAATTTTCTGATTAAATTATTTTTCATTTGTTTTTGAGTTTTTACTAAAAAAAAACTTGTCATGCATCAAAATGGAAATGATAGAAAATTTTCAATTGATATGCTTTCAATAAAAAAAAATAAATTAAAAAAAAATTAACAATAAATGTTAATAAAATAATAGAATTCATAAATTGTATGTACATTTACAGTAGATAATTATTAATTAATTTTTATTTATACAGATAAATATTTATATAAATATATGAATATATTATATTCATATTATTTTTTACAATAAGACTAAAGTTAAATATATTTCTAAATGAGATATTTTCAAACAAACATTTTAAATATCTATTTATTTCACATTAGGAAATTTAACATTATTATAGGACTCAAATTATTATATAAATGTTGTTTAAGAAATGACAACTTAATATAAATGTATATATTGAGATAAAAGTAGTTGTTTAAACAGCAGCTCTACGTTTGATTGACATTTTACCTTTTGATAGGTAAGACAAGTTAATTCGAAATTTACTGTTGTCCAAAGTTTTCTTTACCCAAATCTATATAAACATACAAATAAATTATAACAGAATTTATAAAAACGGTATGTTATTTTTACTAAAAATATGAAATTGTTTTTATCGTTTCATTTAAGACTTACAGTTTCATTGCCAATAGCAGATATAACGGCTGGAAATTTAGCCATTTGCCTTCCTTCAACGAAAACTGGTTGTCCTCGATGATACCTAAATTAACAACAATTGACATAAAAAAATATTTACAAAGATAAATTTTTATTTAATTCATTATAAAATAATGCTAGTCTTCAATTTACAAGAACAACACAAGGGGAATAATAAAATAATAATACACAACAACAAAAAATAATGATTAAGTATGAAGTAAGTAATTTTGAATTGTACATACCATCTTTTTTCAAAAAGCAGTTTTCCATCTTCAATTCTTGTATCGGGTATGGCTGATGAACCTTCAGTATCAGAATTTGGACATATTTTTGGACTCATATTTCCAGTTGATGCACTTGAACTTGGAAGAAATCCTGAGGAATCATTATACACAAATACTTTAATACAATGGTTACAGCAAGATTATTAAAATTACTTATAGTGGTAAACATAAACACCTGGTTTTCTTATTGATGTAGAATTGACTGTTTCACGCGTTTTGACTGTTGCAGTTGCTGTAGTCGAAGTAGATGGAATGGAAGCTATGGATTCTTGAATAGCTTTGACATCCATTTCAATTTCATGTTCTTGTAACTGATAGTAGATATTTGATACTGGAGGTGGTTTGCGACGTTTTTCTTGTGGAGCTGGCACCACAGGGTCATTTGGTCTTCTTCTCAATTTTCTTGTCATAGCAGGCTTCTGATCTGCCGAGTCTGGAGCTTAAAATAACCAAAAATAATAAGTACATAAAGTTTTAATAGAGTATAGTGAATATACTTTTCAAATATATAAAAAGGTACATACAAAGTTCCATATTTAAATTGTCATGTTCTATTGCTTTTTTTCTTTCATTCAACTCGGCTATCAGATTTTCTGTAAGTTCAGCACTACGATCCTCAAACTCTTTATGAGCTAGACGACGTTCTCTAATAAACTCTCTTTCAATAGCATCGAGCAAACAATCTCGCCATAAATTGTTCATCATTAGCCTGTTTAAAAGAATTCTTTACTAATAAAATCATAGTTTTAAAAAAATAAAAAGAAGTATTTGTCTTACTGGTTTTTTTGTTGAAGATCTAATTTCTTCAATTGCTTGACATATTCTATGTGTGTACCTTCTCGAAGTTGTTGCAATTGCTTTTGAATACCGGCCAGCTTGTCTTGGTACACTCTGATATAAAAGAAATGTGCTCATTAATGATATTCATAGATGTCTATGTTATAAAACTTACTGCTCTTGTATTTCAGTATGTTTCTCGCGATTTTCTTTGCCTTCTTCTGAAAAATTAAAAAAAAAATAAATATCATTACTACTAAGGATGAATTCTAAATACACTACCTTTTAGAAGCAAGGAGATAAAGGTATGCCAGGTGGAAATAATAAAATACTTAACATTTGTTGATTAAGAAAATATTCATTCTTAATAAAGTTTCAATAACTTTTAAATATAAAAATTAATTTTAACTAGAGATTATTTTATTTTCACCAAATTCAACAAATTTAATAGAAATTCAACAAGTTGTATCATTTTGTTTTATCTGTTTTTTATCTTATATAAATTATTTGATAATTTATTAATTAATTGATACACATGCGTTTAAATTAATTTAAAATTATCAACTATTGCAATGTATGAGAAACGAGATGGGAAAAAACTAATAACAAATGAGAAAATATAACTCTTATCTGCAACTCGTAAATACGCATTGGTTCTCATAAATAATTATCTAACATATGCCTTGATGTTAGTAAAAAATTTAACATTTAATCCAAATTCTGTTTTTGTTTTAGAAAACGTCTTCCAAGATAAGATTCGAATAAACGGGCGTCCTTAGGACCACTGCTTACCGTCAGAATCTGTAAGATCCTTGTTTTCCATCTTGACGCTGCCATTCTCGTCGTCGTCCATCGAGAACGTCGAAGATGGCGACATGTCGTCGTTATCGGGGAAAGACATTGTAAATCGGAACTACACACCTTGGGAACAAATCGCTTAAAACGAGAACATGTGATTGGAATGTCTGTCGAGTAGACAAACAAATATCCCTAAGAGCCGATATTCTATCGCGGCAACCGATTAATTCGCAATATTCACACCACAGATACGATCATTTCGCTTGCAATCAGCATTTTCTGTTATTGTTACACCGTTTGCAGTCTGATATGGCGACGGCCGTCGTAATTGTTATCGTCGATACCACTACCATAGAGTACCATTACTCTTTGACCACGGCACAGGTAATGGTACACCGACCGTTCGAATACGCAACACAGTATGCGAAAACAAAGTATACCATAGACCTTGTACTAGGTATACTTAGTATAGGTCTATAGTTAGACCTATACTATATGATATAAAATAAACAGCATAAAATGGTACCTACCGATAAAAAATCATGGTCAAAAAATGCTATTTTACATTGTCAAAACAAACTAGTGAACAAATCCAAACGAACCCACGGGAGATCAAACATGTCATTAATTATCTTTTCTTAAACTAAAATAAATTACGAAAACAAAATATACTTGATAAGTAGTAGTGGGGGGAATTATCGTTCCTTTCGTGGAATCGTTCCAATCGGTACAGTTACAATAAGGTACCGATTCCAAAATACTCGTTACATCGGTACAATCGGTACATTCTTTCTTTAGTTACACTTGTACTCACATTCGTATAGTTCCTCGCGGAACGATAAAAATACATATATTCAAATGTTTACTCATTCTTGCAATGGATATTTAATATTTATGAACGAATATGCTTCGTAGCTCGTAGGCCTATTATACAACATTATTTTACTATATTCGGGAAAAATTAATTTAAAATAATTAAATTTGTATCAGAAACACTATGTTTTTGTAAACATTGTTTACAATACTATGAATCATTATATTAATATACATTTGAAATGCTTAATCAAAAATTATCATCGTTTTAATATTTTTCCAATCGCTACAATTATATTAAATAAACTATAGATTCAAAAAAAAACAAACCACATAAATAATAAACTTATTTATTTTCAGCAAAAAATAATTATAAAAATACAAAAAAAAAATCACTTCACTTTACCCTAGAAAAAAAAATAATAACAATAAAATAAATAAACTCAAACTTCTAAAATTAACTTAGTTACTTGCCTAAGCCTAAAATGGATAAAAATTAAAAATTAAATAATAGTATTTAATAATTACTGTTTAAAAATATCAACATTTCCGTGTTTTTTTGTTGACAATCTATTACGTCTTTCGGAAATGGTGTAGCCAGCTTTTGAAAAGGCCCTTTCACTCGGAACTGATGTTGATGGTACACACAAACGCAATAACATCAAATCAAATCAATTTGGATAGATTTTTTTTCTGTCATTCCACCATTTAAGAGGATCTAATTTTCGGTCCAGTATAGGTTCATTCAAATATCTATCCATCTCCACAATAGCCTCAGATGTTGGTGTGTTGACTGAAGTTGAAGTAGACACCTAAAAATCATAAACTAATTTTATAAATCACTTAAATATCAAAATATCAATGATGTATACATTATACATCATATCAATGTATAATGTATGTACCTGAGAGTCAAACTGTTGCCAAATTTCAGAAGTTTCGTTTCCACGATCAGTCGGTATGATTTTCTTATTTTCTTCATTTTCTACTGGACTTTGATTTAAACGAATAATTGTTGCAACTTTTTATACTATCTTTTCGTATGTTTTTTGATATGTATACTGATTATTAAATGCTTTTTTTTTAAACCGTGGGTCTAAAATAGTTGCTTCTGTTAAAACAGGCTGGTTTTCGATATTTTCAAATTTAGCATTGGCTTTTATTACCATTTTAGAAAGCATCAAATGTATAGCATTTGGTAAATTTGGTTCTTTTTCTTTATTTTTTATATGTAAATGTAATGCTTTTATTAAAATTAACACTTTTGAAATCGAAATGCCTTTTTCGCTACTTAGTTCGATAGTAACTTCTTTAAACGGTTTAAATATCGCACTGTAGTGTTTTTATTAGTTCAAAGTCTTCATGTACTAAATTATCCATATTACCTATTATTGCAATTGTACTCATAATAGGTTCTTTATTATCGATACACCGTTGAAACATGTCATACGTGGAGTTCCACCGCGTACAAACGTCTTGAATTAACTTTAATTCCGGGTATCCCATTTGTTTTTGTGCATTTTTAAGTTTTAAATTTGCTTTTGTACTTCGTTTAAAATATTCAACGATGTTTTTTACTTTTTTGTGAACGCTTTTTATTTCACCTAGTCCAGATTGTGTAATTAGATTTAATGTGTGCGCTAAACAGGGAATATGGCGCCAATTTTGATTCATGACGATTGCTGATGTTATATTCGCAGCATTGTCACTCACAGCAACTTTTACTTTTTCTGTTATATTCCAGTCTTTAAAAAAATTATTTAAAAATAATGACAAATTTACAGCTGTATGGGATTCCACCACGTTAAAACATCCAAGTAAAAATGTTTTTAAAACACACTCTTCTGGATCGATAAAATGTACAGTGACAGCAATAAAACTATCATTATTTATGGAAGTCCAGCCATCAGTTGTAAATGAAATATATTTGGCATTTAATAAATTATTTCTAACTTTTTCTCTTGTTTTCTCATACAACTGTGGCAAAATAGATTTCGAAACAGTTTTCCTCGATGTAACTGATACCAAGGATTTAATAAATATATGAATTTTTTAAATTCAACATTTTCAACTAAACTGAAAGGTTGGAATTCTTTTGAAATCATAACTCCTAGCTGTTCATCAATTGTTTTTTGTTTTGAAACAGAAAGTGATTTATTGTTAATAAAATACGAATCTACACTTTTTTGTATGGAACGAGATTTATTTATGACATTAATTGCATTGATTGATGTAGAAGGTTGGTTTTGATCATTATTTGTTTCGGGTGTATTTTGCTTACTTAGTTCATCAACATTTTGTTCAATCATTTCATTAATACGCGGATGTTTTCTACTTTCATATTGAATTATGTGTTTTCGTTTTAAGTGTTTACTTAAGTTTGTAGTTGATCCGCCTTTATAAGACACCGAATTTGAACAATACGAACATTTAGCCATTCCACTATTAATAACCGAATAATGATTCCATACATTGCTTTTTTTT